GCTCTCAAAAGCCCAAGATCAAAGTGCCATCATCTTTTAATGTAAACCTTTTGTTGCATCCACAGTCTTAAGAGGGATGAGAGACATCAAAATAAAAACTGAGACAAACTGTGGCTTTGTAGCTGTTTTTTGTTTTAGTCTCTTCTCTCAATTTGGGCCATGAAATAGGTCAGCTCCATTACTGATCAGCCTTCCCACAAATATTTAAAACAAATTGAATTGCACACCCAATACCCATCACAATTACGCCAGGCACAATAACTAAATTAGCAATTCAACAAAATAATTGGAAATGCGATTCTCTCTATTCCACAGCCTCCCTCAGGGGTTTGGCCGATCTATGGGGGGAAAACTCGGCTTTACTAATTCTGCAGCTAATTAGAGACACACTTGTAAATGAAGTTGTTTGTCTGAAAGTTGAAATTCTTTGCTATCGTGGGGCTGGGGGAGAGGATTAAGACAACCCCTGCGTCCCCAGCGCAGACAGCGGTCCCCACTGCCCCCTCTAGTTGCTGTGCGATGGTTTGCAAAGGTATAACGCCCGTTTGTGTAGGTACTAATTAGCAGCTGTATCATGAATTAATAAAGAATTAATATTCGGGGGGGGGAATAGCTCACTTGCTGGTAATTGGCAGCATTAGGAAACCAGTGGAAATCATCCCGGTTATCTGTGCCCTTATTAAACAGCACTCAAAGCTTCTGCCCGTGCCACAGCCCCGCGCCGTCGGCCGCCATCGCTCTGAACCTGCCCGCCCGCTGCGGGGAACTGGGCGAGCAGAGCCTGCCCCAGTTCACCCAGACTGGGGGTGCTGGTGCGTAAGGCACCGTCCCGCCCCCTCCCTGGCCGAGCCACCGGCCTTTGGGCGCTGGGGGCTGCGGGGGACAGGGCCCCGGGCCGGGGCAGAGCTGCGGAGCCGCCGGCCGCCCCGCTGCTGGGCACGGGCACGGCACCGCCGGGGCCTCTCCGGGCAGCGGCACCGACGAGTTGTTACTCGGGGATTACTCAGGCTGCGCCTTCTCCTGCGGCACCGTCAAATCCAGGCGCGGGCCCGTTGTCACGCCGGGAATAAAGCGCTGCCCTCAGCAGCAAGGTCAGCGGATGAAAGGGGCCTCGTGCGCCGCCGCTGCCGGCCCAGGTTCTCCCCGTGCATCGCGGTGCCCAGGTGGGGGGCAGGGAGAAAAGCCTGCTTAAACACTGATAAGTAAATTCAAAAGCATGCTTAGTAGGGCTTTGGCTCTTATCTCTGCAAACAATACGAACGAGAAGTTATCACATTTAAAGTGTTTCGTATTACCCTTTTAACATCGCATCCCGCTCCCCCCAAAAAAAAAGGAAAGGAAAAAAAAAAAAAATGCAGTGCCCTGGTGCTCCCACTCCGAAGGGCACAGGAGCCAAACTGGACTGGGGTGGCACAGCGGCCGTGCCCGCGCCCCGGCCACAAACGGAGGCCAGACAACTTGCCAGCACAGCAAAGCCCAAAGCAGGGGAGGGACGCGGTGCTCGCTGTTAAACATCCTTAATGCCTGCTCTGACAGTGCAAGCAGCGTGAAACCATTCCACCGACACAAACTTTGGAAGTGGCTAATTTACTCCCCTTGATGCCTTTCAGAATTGCGGTTATTAAACCATGAGATTTTAATGATGTTCGAAGACCACACAGCTTTGCTGCGGCTTCTCAGAAAATAAGTACAGGGGTGGGGACACGCCTGGCTCAGCGGGCGACCGCGCCGATACCGTACGGCGGAGGGTGCCGCCGGGGTTTCTGCCGCTCACCAGGGAGCCAGAATTATTGGGGACGGCAGGGACAGGGTGCGACGTTGCCAGGATTTGCCATGGCTCCACCTGGAGGACCAAACAGCCGGGGAGGCCCGTGGGGGCACCCTCTGCGCTGGAGCAGCCCGCTGACAGGCACCACGCTGAGCTAAAACGAACTGGGGATTGCGCACCTCACCCCAGTACAGGCGGCTTAAAAATCAGCCCTTCCCCGTCGCCGCGGAGCCTTCGGGCCCTTTCCCGCGGCTCCCCGGGCCGCGCTTTGCCTGCGACTCTCGCAGCTTGCGTGCGCTGCACAGGAGGGCTGAGCCTCGCTGCTGGGCTCTTCGCTGTGCGGAAGGTCCGCAGTGGGATCCTGAGCTAGAAAGGGCAGCAGCGAGGAGCCAACGGTGACATTTAGTGCGTTTCCGCCTGGCAAATCTTGACCAGAGAGCTGTGAGCTGGAGGGGGACGGGAGAAATCAATGCACTTCCCCGAGAGCTGCAGCTACTGCTTCGCTGCAAGCGAGCATAAAGATTTATCCATCCATGATGTGTGTGTTTTGCACACAAAGTCAATACTCACCTTGGCACTTATTTTCTAAAGCCAAGAAAAATGCTACATTCCTCCACAGGGCAGGGAGCCTGCCCTCCGCTGCCGCCTCGCCCCGCATCGATCGAGGGCCAAGGACCAGCACCAGGGAGGAACGGGGAAAAGCAAAGCTCCAACGGCTTCGTGGAGGCGGCAGCGCCTCCCGGCACAGCCAGCGCTGCGGCCCCGGGCCCGCGGGCTGCCTAAAGAACAGGCAAAAATCCAGGCAGTTCTCCTGGGCACAGGGGTCAGCGGTGCAGCGGCTCGGAGGATGTTAGGGGAGGACATTTAATGACGTTATCACACGTTTTCTTCCCTATTTAAAAAAAAAAAAAAAAAGGTCACAAAAGAAACCTGGGGTTGCGCCCTGCCTCCGGGCCCAAAGGATGTATTTCTGTAACTGGTCCCTCACACCACCCTGCTCGGGGTCGTCCCCGGGCTACCGTGCGCGGGGCTGGCGGCATTCGGCCAGAACTGTGCCCGTGCGCGGGCGCGCTCTGCTCCTGCTTTCACGCACCAACTGCTGCGCGAGCCACGGCTGCAGCTGAGCGCGTGCTCCCTCGGTGCGGTGGACTCTGCTCCACACAACGCAGGTTACGGGAAGCCGGTGACTAGAAGGGAGACTTATATCTGTAATGATGAGGTGCAAAATGATTAATTAGTATCAGCTCTGCAGACAGCTCCGGGGACACAGTGATGTGCAACAATGCAGCTACAGAGAAAAAGGGAAAAACCACCACCAAAAAAGGGCTAGAACTCTGCTGCGACGCATCCCGGTTCAAGCAGGGGCAGGACCGGGAGAGCGGCACGGCGGGAGCAGAGGGAAGGGGTAAGCGCCGCGTGGAGACACGAGGTGCGATCTCTGCTCCTGCACGGGTCGTGGGGGGGGGCTTCCCTCCCTCTGCTCTTACCTGTTACAGACTTAAAAATGGAATGTATTTTTATTTTTTGTAAAAAAAAAATAATTTAAAAAGTAAAATTTAGTTGCCCGCTGAAAAGCTGGTAAGCTGTAACTTATGCAGGGGGGAAAACCAAACCAAACCAAACCAAACCAAACCAAACC